AGATGACAAAAAAAGATCAAATACATGTAGAGTGTTTTATGTGAACTTCAATTTTCCAAACCTCCAAATTTTCCAACATACCAGACACAGTGATGATCCATTCTCCTCACACAGACACCACATAACCGGCAATGCCACGCCCGGGCTGGTCGCACCAGCTGGCACTTGGCACACCAGTCCTCCTTTGCCTTGGTGGGGCTGCCAGCCAGTATCCTGCAAGAGCCCTTAAGATCATCCTTCATGTTTCGATTATTGAGACCTCCTGACATATCTGCTCCAGAGAACCCTTTGGTCTTCTCATGCCCTTTTCTGTTCAGGTATTCAATTTGACTGTTGCTTAGAGAATTGTCATTGCTTGCTGGATTTCTGAGGTAGCCTGGATTCTTCTTGGCTCTGTACAAGGCTAAGAGTATCAGAAATAACCCGCAGGTAAGAATAGCCAGCTGAGTGGGCCCCACACGTCCTTTAGGGACCACTTCCCGAAGGAACACATAGTACATGTAGCCCAGTGAGAACAGTCCGAGGCTCAGGAAAAACAGAGTCTGCTCTTTCCGTCTGTGAGTGAGGTAGTAGTACCACAGTGCCAGCACAGGAAGGGAGGTCAAAACCACCACCCCCAGCAGGAAATGCCAGGAAGCCACATGGAGGAAGATGGGCAGTAAGATGAGTGGGGGAATGATACTAATGTTAACTTTCTTGGCTCCCTTGAGCCAAGGAATTCGGAGGTGATCATAAATTGTATCCATGATTCGTTCACAGGTCTCTGGCTGTATGGATTTACATGTAATCCATCTATTCAGAAAGAGCACAAAAAGGAGGCATTTCACATGGGTCTGTTGAATTAAAACCACTGAACACTATATGCCTAGTAACAGAATAAATGATAAAAGTGACAGTCAAAGGCCAAGAATTTTACTTCATTAATAGTAAATGCAAACTTTTCAGCTTCGTTTGTCATTTTTTCAATACTAACAAAAAAATAATGTTTAGAAATGTAATGGTCAACATTAATTCTCCACTAAACGCATGTTGTTGTTGTTGTTATGTGCC